GTCCTTAGTGTGAGAGTGGCAGCGCCCCAACCCCCTGATCGGCCCTGCTCTGTGGGTGATAGAGGGTGGTGCCCCAACCCCCTGATCCTCCCTGCCTTGAGTGTGGCAGGGGGTGGTGCCCCAACTCCCAAATTAGCCCTGCTCTGAGCCAAACCAGGGGCTGCACCTAGGGATTGGGCCTGCCCTCTGCCACCCAGGAGCAGGCCTAAGCCAGCAGGTCGTTATCTCCTGAGGGGTCCCAGACTGCTAGAGGGCACAGGCCAGGCTGAGCCCCCCCCCAGTGCACAAATTTTTGTGCACTGGGACTCTAGTTCATCATAATGGCGGTAGTGATAAAGGAGAAAAGGGTAAGAATACCCAGGGTTAGTTTGAAACTATATGTTCAATATTCATAGTAACTTTCAGGAGGACTTGTGGATATGAGTCTATTAAAATCTCAAGTACAAAAAGATGGTGAGCCCGGCCTGCATGACTCAGTGGTTGAGCATCGACCTATGAACCAGGGCATGCTTCAGTTCCCCGTCAGGGCACATGCCAGGCTTGTGGGCTCAATCCTCAGATTTCTCTCTCATCGTTGATGTCCCTCTCTCCTTTCCTCTCTGAAATCAATACAACTGTATATATATTTTAAAACGATGGTGATATGTAAGCATATTCATAATAGCCCCAACTGGAAACTTCTCAGGTGCATGGATTAACTGTAGTATAGTCACGCACTAAAGTATCAGTCAGCAATGAGAATGAAGGATCCACAAACAAATGCACCTCACAAATGTCATGCTGAATCTCACAAACATAATGCTGAATGAGAGGAGCCAGACACAAAAGAATACATGCTGGTTGATTCTATTTACATAAGAGACAAAACAGCAAATCTAATGTGTGACATTAGAAGTCAGGGCAGCAGTGGAGGAGTGAAGTGACGGTTGGGAGCAGGGGTTTCTTGGCGGTTGGTAATGTTTGATAACTTACAGGGCTGTGTTCAGTTGGAGAAAATTCACTGAGCTGCACATTAACGCTTTATGAAATGTTTGTATTTAAGTTATATTTCAATAACACTTTTCAAGAAGCAGGAAAAACCAATAAGCAGGAAAAATACGAAATTTTCAGTTTCATGTTTTGTTAGGAAAAATAAAGATTTTTGGAAGTGTACTTGTTTTATAAAATATTAATCAAGTAATGAAATGAACTAAAGTCGTGAACAGGCTAGGAAAAGAAAGTTAAAGCCTCAAAAAAGATTGAGCTCCTACCAGAGACTAAACAATCCCCTCCCAGAACTCTTAAGCAAGTTAGAAATTTAGAAGCAGGTCTGTTGGAGACGGAGGTATAGAAGCCCCTCTAGTCAAAAAATGCACTTTCCAGAGCTAAATGGCAGCTGCAACAACCATAGTGAGCAGTGGATTCACAATCTCAATTTATTATCAAAATATTTCCATCAGGTAACAAATCTGAAAGGATAAGGAGATGTGGAGCTACATAGATGCAGGTGTGCCCTTTCATTTCAGCCACCTAAGGGACAGGTTGAATTTGGAAAATCCTGCTTGTAAACCACAAGTCTTATGTATCTTTAGACAACCGTCCAATGGCAATGTTTAAGCCAAAGTGTGTACTTAAAGCTTTTCATCAATATGATTGATAAGTTTAAAAAGTCTCAAATGTTCATCTGTACATCGCTTTACAGATCTTGGTTCATAACTATTTATCTCAGTCTGAAACTTCAATAGTCAATGATTACCTATAATAACAATTACTTAGTCATAAATGTAGTCAACAATTAAATATAAAAATTATTTATACATTGCTACAAATTTCTTAAAAAGACCAAGTTTTGACAAGAGAGAGAAAGAGAAAGAGAGAGAGAGAGAGAGAGAGAGAGAGAGAGAGAGAGAACAAGAAATTGCTTAGAAAATTGCAAGAAACCTCAAGAATATCGTTATCAGTCAAAACAGGTACAACAAAACACAGTTTTAGACATTTCATTTTAGCCCTAAGTACTTAAAATAAAATGATCTCAGAATGCATAACTGATGACTGGAAAAGTTAGTTTAAAACTACATAAGTCCCAAGGCCCCAATATGTATAAGAATTCTTTGGAAGAGATTTGAAGGAGCATAAATGTTGCAAATATAAATACAAATAAGTACTTCGACAATGTGTTTTTCACTCCCGGGTCACTGATGTGTGTTAGGTGCCAATTGTATTCTTCAACTTTTTCTTTCTTCCTTGGATTAGAAATCCTTCTCTAATAATGGTTAACACTCTTCAAGAGACAACATCACACTGGCAGATCATACGAGAAACAGAAGTGAACGGTAATACTATCTTTAGAGATTAAGCATTATTTACACAGTGAGAAGTGATTGATTTGATAGACAATAGACGCCCTCGTCCCTCCACCCTTTTCTAGAATAACCTAACTTCATTTTTATCATGATGCTCTCATCTCTGTCAGGAATCCCTGTGCATAATAACAGTGAGCTCTATGGCCCAGTCTCTTGGATAGAGCTGTCCATTTCTGTGGTGTTGACGAGTCTAGCCAAGGGCTGCACTGCTTCTTTTGAAGATCACCACACCCGGCATTTCTTTTCTGGATTCATGTATGAATTCTTGGGGCAATGAAAGGCTTCTGCAAACTCAGGGGAGTTCTGCAAAGTCCCAATGATCCTGTGAAACAAATGAAAGTCACCATCAGCATTTGACACTCATGTCCATACCACGTGGTAGGGCTATAGCATTTCTCTATTAGGCCAAGTGAGTGAATTTAGAATATAGTTAAAAAAAAAGAAAAGAGAAGAAAAGAAAGAAACTAGTAGAATGAGTTCATTCTTCTCATTAACAGAATTTTTAAATGGAGAGGTTAACAAAGTATAGGAATTAAGGGAACAGATGTTGAAGACAGACGGTATGGTTTGAATCTTGGTTATGACTTATTTATTTAGCCTCTCTGTGCCTCAGTTTCCTTTTCTGTAAAATGCATATAATAATAGTACTTGGATCTTAAGGTTCTCATGGGGAATTAATTTATAAACATTCTATACACATTTGTAACAAATGCATAATTCATATTTGGAATTGTAGTTAATATAAGGAGAGTTTGGTCAAAGAATAAAATCATGACTTTTCATGATATCTTGAAAGGGTTCACATGGTAACCTAAATATGAGACTTTAAACAGATATTAGTTGATTTGATTTCATAGGAAAGGCAACAATTATTATCTATTATTCCAAAAGAACTTCATAAATATCAGAAACTGGATCCAGCCTGAATAACTGGAAAGGGCTGGCAAAATGCCAAGCTCTTCTTATCTCTGACCCTGATGGGCAAAACAACAGGGTCCACCCTACCTTCGGCACCAAGCAGCATCTGAGGGGAGAGACAGGTCAGTACGGTGATGCAGGGGTGATGTTTTCTCATCAACCCGGAAACCCCTCCTTCCCTTCTCTGCCCACAGAGACCATGGCCACACCCACCTTGGGTTGGAAGGAGGAGAGCAGACTGGAGTCGTGTAAGGCAAGGAGCATATGACCTAAGAGTACCTTTTAACCTACTGAGATCTCCAACACAGATGTATTAACATGTATAACTGTGAGCATGTCTGCCCCCTCTAACCCACTCTCCACTCGGTACACAGAGTGATCTTTAAAATATAGATCAAATTCCAGAATTTCCTTACTTAAAACGTTCCAGGCATTGAAGGAAATTCAACCTCCTCACCTCGGTCTCCAACATTCTGATGGCTCCAGCCTACCATCCCTGCCTCCTCGTTTCCTGTTCCTCATGGGGATGACACTGACCTATTCCATTCCTTACAATGGCCAAGCTCCTCTTCAAATACTATCCCTTTTGGGTCCCCCTCCCTGTGCTAGCCCTATCACAGAGTTATTTGTTCTTTATTTCCTGACATACCCACTACACTGTAATCTCTGTGAGGGCAAAATATTATGTCTCCCTTGCTCCTGCTGCACCCCAAAGCCTGGGACACTGCATGCATATGCAGGACTCAGTACGCACTGGATGAATGAGCCTGTTGCCTGATCATGGCAGTTACATGCAGGAGTGATGGGGCATTATGAAGAAAAACACTGTTTAGTATTTTTGTTGTTTGCTCGCTATTATAGACCAACTGGGATGGAAAGAAAGCATTTCCCTATCCCCATTCTAGGAAAGAAAGACCCATACCCCATTTCTCAAAGTCTGACTTCCTAATGTGTCACTCATGACCCCGTCAACTATCTCTCAATCCCCCAACCTGACTCCCCTAGCCTTCGGGAGGATGTAAACTTCAGGGAGGAATCCTCCTGGTACGGGGTTGGGGGTCGAGAAGGGATGGAGGCCAGAGCTGGGGAACTGACATCTATTAGTCCACTTGAGAGAGAGAAGGCTGGCCCACTGCCAGGAGCCTGAGGAGGGGCCAGTCCAGTAATGGTGGGTGGTGTGAATGACAGGATATGCCTCCACTTTGAGCAGGGCCCCGATAGGATGGTGTGTGGCTGTTGGGCGACCTGAACATCAATACTGGTGGCTCCTGTGGCCCTTGCCCATGACCACTGGAAGGAGACAGAGCCACCTGACTTCAGATGGAACCCTCGGACTGTAAGAGTGTCAGCTGTGAGCACAGCAGGGTGGAGGCTCTTCCCTACTTCCTCAGTTCATGTGATGCCTTGGATTCCTGTATAGCCCCAGAAAGGACTGAAATTAAATGTCTCACCTCCTGATGTCCAGTGGGAGCTCAGAGCTTGAATTAATTTGATATAAAAGTAACAATAATAAAAGGGTGTCATTCCTTACATCTGAAAGTTCAGAACAAATTCACTTGATACATGGTCAAAAATGATTGTGTATGTAGGAATGAAAGGATTTAGACATCAGGGATTTGTACAGGTCCTTAGTCTATGTTCTAGGTTCATGGAGAGAGCTTTGATTCCTTTACTGCAGGGGTGGGGAACCTTTTTTCTGCCAAGGGTCATTTGGATATTGATAACATCATTCACAGGCCATACAAAATTATCAACTTAAAAATTAGCCCGCTCTATTTGGTCAAATATTCAATTAACTCATCCCTAATGCCTTGGCAGGGCCAGACCAATGATTTTATGGGCTGTATTTGGCCCACAGTCCAGACAGTCCCCACCCCGGATTTTAATCCAATCCCTTTCCCACTTTAGGAAGCCTTATCTCTGACTGGGGAACAGTCATCACGGTGGCTGACTGCCCCACAAGCTTCTGGATGAACTGACAGAGAAGCACCCCAGAGTCACTGACTTGAAGAACAGCTCTTTTGTCTTTATTTTATTAAATATTTTGTCAGCCCTGGCCAGTTTGGCTAAGTGGTTAGAGTGTTGGCCCATGGACTGAAGGGTCATGGGTTCGATTCCCCGGTCAAGGGCATGTACTTCGGTTGCAGGTTCAATCCCCAGCCCTATTCAAGGTTCTAGCAGGAAGCAACCAAGCAATGTGTC